AATAATAATAATAAATAAATAGGTTAATTTTACAAACGGTCATTGAAGTTACGTCAAAATCACAAAACGGTCACTGAAGTTTAAAACTTGCACTAATGATCACTGAAGTATCATATGGTTTCAATAATGGTCACTGAAGGACCCTTTTCATTTCAATTGAAACTTAATGAGTCCAAAATAGTTGAAGCTTGAACTTGAGGACCTAAATCGCAATGCCAGTTTAGGATAACATGGTTCATCGGGCATTTTTCCCTTCATTAGCCGACTTCTTGAGCTCCACCTTACACTCCAAGCAGCAAACCTGAAATCCATAAACCCCAAATCTTCGTATTCATTAACTATACATAGAATTGGTGTCCTCCATATTTATTGCATCCCTAACCCTTCGCTCATCCATTATCGGAGCCCCAATATCGGCCTCCCTATATAGCAATTTTTCAAGAATGTTTGTGGGTATTTGAAGCTCCCCTAACCCCAGGAGGTCAAGGAGGACTGCAAGGCAATCCGGGTTGCGATCAATGAAGTGCTCAGTGGTTGCGGTGGCACTCGGTTGAAGGTTCCAATTGTCATCAAAAATAGCTCCAAACAAGGAATTACGTCCTGCGTTGGCAAGGGTTGTGGCCGTGGTCTCAAAGATTCTCCCACGAACATTGAACCTCACCATATCCGTTAGAATTCCCATTAATAAATTGGAACAAGTAAAATGAGAATTTGAAGGTGAAATAACAGAAGAATTGTTATTTAAACATGAGATCTTTCTCCTAAAACCCTCAAAATATATAGGAAATTCAAAGGATTTCGAGAAGACAACCGATGATAGATGTCAAATTAATAAACCCATAAAATTTATAAGCCCACCCTATTTCTTTTTAGAATCCATAATTATTCAATTATAATCAATTTAATTGAATTAATTGAGTGATTACCAAAATTTGCTACTAATTTCTCTTATAAATAGAGTCAAATGTTCATTACAAAAGGAAGGCAAAAAGTGAAGAAGAAAATCATGAAGTGCTGAAAAAATCCTAAAGTCAAAGGAAGAGAAGAAATCATCTCA